ACATTTATTTGATATATATATATATATATATATATACAGTATATATATATTAGGGATGGGCAACTATTAATCGCATCCAAAATAAAAGTTTGTGTTTACATAATATGTGTGTTTAGTGTGTATAATTAATTTTTATATATAAATACCCACACATGCATGAATATATTTAAGAAATATGTGCATGTATATATTTGATATATATTTATTCACAATTAATATTATATATAAATATAAATATTTGATATATTAATAAAACATTTTTCTTAAATATATACATGCATGTGTGTGTATTTATATATACAAATTAATTATTCACACTAAACACGCATATATTATGTAAACACAAACAATTTTGGATAATAATCGCGATTAATTGTTGCCCATCCCTAATATATATATATATATATATATATATATATATATATATATATAAACAAAATTGTGTTTTTTTTCTTTCTTTTTGTTTGCCTTCTACTCTAAATCCAAATTCAGTTTCAATCAATCTGTGATTGATCCATGCTTGGTGTTTGTTCACAATATTGCTAAAGCATTAAGCTATTATGTAGCAGCCGTTTTTGACATTTAAATCCCCGGTTATTGTCGATAATAAACCAGCTCATTATTGACAGAACAACATGTGGAGTGAGCGCAGAAACACTCACTCGTGCTCACGGAAAGAAGGGTGGAGAGATAGAGCAATACAAGCAAATGAGAAAATAAATGAGCATAAGGAACAAGGTTTTCTTTTGATCACTCGCTGATGTTTCAGGCAAATGTGTGTGTGTGCGCGTTGGCGTATGTGTGTGTTCGCGCAGTTCTCTCAGAAACCGGCGTCTCATTAAATCCAGCAACTCTGACACAAACAGCAAATTCTTGAGCATATCTGATGCCACTGCTGGCTCAGTTATTGAACTCATTTCTGCTTTAAAAAGTTTTAAAAGGTTTTTTTATCCCTGCAAGTCCACTTATAATAAACAGTAAGCCAAGGTTAAAACGTTAATGAGCATGAGCATTTATTTGTTGTTGCTGTTTTTGCTACTGCAACTTTAAGAATGACCTCTGTTGTGATTGGTCAACCACACAATGTTGTGTTGTTTGACTGCTCAGCATCTTTCTCTAATGACAGCCATTTAAAATGATTAAATGCACTACTGTTCAAAATTTAGCATCAATAAGATATTTTACAGTGTGAAGAACATTTTAATAACCTAAAGAAGTGCTATTCCCACTATATCCTTTATGTAATGGAAATATTCCATTAAAGGTTCTTAGTTAAACTATTGATGCCAATAAAGACACTTTTTTTAAAGGGATAGTTCACTTTGAAATTCATTTTTGGTATGTTTTAGCTTACCTCAAGGGCATCCAAGATGTAGGTGTCTTTGTTTCCACAGTAGATTCAATTTTAATATCTTTAGGTCAAACCGTTCGTGTCTGTCAGTCATATAATGGAGGTCTATGGTCACCACCTCAAAGAGCATGCACAGAGAAGTCCAAATTAAACATGATTTAATGACTCGTAAATGTAAGTACACATTGATGGCCTAAGACACGAAATGAGCAGTTTGTGTGAAAAAACTAACAGTATTTATCTCGTTTTTACCTCTTGTAATCACAGCCACGTCCAAGTGATCTGAGGGTGCGGGTGCTTCAGTCTGCGCAAGTGCCGAAAAGCGTTGGAAGTGATCTCTCGTCACTAAACATATTTAGATATTCAGGAAATCGCAATGGAAGATGATTTCGATATATCAATAGACAACGTTGATTTTTTTTCCCCACAACCATGCGAGAGATCACTTCTGGCGCTTTCCGGCACCGGCGCTCTCAGATCACTTGGACGTGGCTGTGATTACAAGAGGTAAAAACGATATAAATACTGTTCGTTTTCTCACACAAACCGCTCGTTTCGTGTCTTAGGCCATCAATGTGTACTTACATTTACGAGTCATTAAATCATGTTTAATCTGGACTTCTCTGTGCATGCTCTTTGAGGTGGTGACCATAGACCTCCATTATATGACTGACAGACAAAAACGGTTTGACCTAAAAATATCAAAATTGAAACTACTGTGGAAACAAAGACACCTACATCTTGGATGCCCTTGAGGTAAACTAAAACATATCAAAAATGAATTTCAAAGTGAACTATCCCTTTAAAGACTGTATAGGGAACAGTGTACCAGGTACAGTATAGCAGGCCTACATCATTTAAGACTCAAGCCAACGCCGCCGTGCCATCAGTGACGGGTCACGGACAAACATATTGGCACTTTAACTGTGAAGATGTGAGCATGTGAACTCGTCCACATCTGATTATCATCCGAGCGTGTGCCGGAGACCCCGGTCCCGACTCGACTCACGGCTTCATTAAAATGACAGTTCTGTCATGCTGATGAAGTCCACCGGCGAATAAGGGCTGACGTGACCCTCGGGTGAGTGAAAGCCCGGTTCAGCTCTATTTCTTGATCTCTCGTTGCTGTGTGTATTACTCGGAGTGTATTGATGTGTGTATGTGTGAGTGTGTGATGGGCTGAATCCAATCACAAACTCATTTTATGGAGGTAATTTTCTTCAAGGTGACTCAATTCGGCCTTTATATATTGAAGCTAAATGTACTGATGTCACTGTAAAAGAAATCTCAAACTCGGCACACACACACAGAGAGTGAAGCGCTGCAACACACAGATACAGCAGACAGGATGCCAATCACCAAACGCCGAGTGCCTGTCAAGCGAGGAGTTTTGCCGCAGAGTGAATCCGACAAACACAATCTCTCTGCTATACAAATACTGTGATGCATACTTGCTTCTGTAACCCGCGAGGGCGTATAGAGATTGTTTTTTGGGGAATGGATGCTGGGATAGACTTCTTACCCCGGAGAAACGTGGAGCGATCATATCACTGTCATAACTTACTTATCTCCACAATAGCGGCGCTGACTCTATTATGGCCGTGTTGAATAGAATGAACAACAGATAACGCTGGGACAGTGGGCTTTTTGAAGATTGTGTTTGTCCATGTCCGTGTGTGTGTGTGTGTGTGTGTTTGCCTGCATATCATTCATCGCTATTGGATTTTTTAGGTGATGGCTGGTGAATTGATTCCTTCTCTGGAATCCATTGAACATCTTTCCGTTTATTGACAATGTGCAAATTTAACATGACTCTATAATAATAACATATCATTATAATTAGTTACTGCCATATGCACACACACTTACTGAATGTAAGATGATCATCTGCATTGACTTTGTATGGCATCTTTCTAAAGCTCAAGATTGACTTTCATGAACACAAGTAGCAATATTCTCTGTTTAAATAAAGTCAAACCAACAATCACAAGTTGAATTTAGAAAAATAGATTCAGTCCAATTCGCCCTGTTTCTTCCCAGCATGAACCATAGTTGCATTTGACCATTTTCCAGTTTTATTTACACTTTTGGGTTGATTTTGTCATATTTAAAGGAGTAGTTCACTTTTCAAAACACTTTTGCTGATAATTTCCTCACCCCCATTAATGTCATCCAAGATGTCCATGTCTTTCTTTCTTCAGTCGAAAAGAAATTAAGGTTTTTGATGAAAACATTCCAGGATTTTTCTCCATATAATGGACTTCAATGGGAACCAAACGGTTCAAGGTCCAAAAGACAGTTTCAGTCTTTTTCGAATCTTTTCCCGAATCGTTTTGTTCGTTGAATGAACCAAATGACTCTTTTGATGAACGACTTCGAACAGGAGAGTCACGAATGCGCATCACAAGGCGAGCATTTGAGCTTATACAACTTAAACTTTGTTATTTATTTATTAAATGAGCGATCGTTTCGCTTGATAAGACCCTTATTCATCGTCTGGAATCGTTTAAAGCCCTTTGAATAGTTTGCAGTTTGCACTGAAACTCTCAATAGGACCTTGAACCGTTTGGACCCCATTGAAGTCCATTATATGGAGAAAAATCCTGGAATGTTTTCTTCAAAAACCTTAATTTCTTTTCGACTGAAGAAAGAAAGGCATGGATATCTTGGATGACATGGGGGTGAGGAAATTATCAGCAAATGTTTTTTTCAAAAGTAAACTCTATTATATTATGCATCACACACTGTACCACTTTGCCCCTGGTTACACAGACCAGGCTTAAATCTAACTCATTATTGAGGTGTTTTAACCAAAAGCAACTTAAACTGACATATTTTAATGTCAGTGCCATTCTTTTGTCTCAGGATGCACACCAGTAATGTTTTCTTTTTTTCTAAGACACGTGAACTAATGCCTAATCCTGGCTTAATCTAAACCCTGTCTGTGAAACCGGGCCTTTGGACTACTGCAATTATGGCTCTTGTATGATAAATTGCTCACAGTTCTTCATTTGTAAGTTGCTCTATACAGATAGAAAATGACTAAATGTGCTGTATTGCAGGTTTTAAAAGGTTGCACACAATCGCTGTCTCTCATGTCCAATCACAGGAAAGCTCTCGATGAAAATGAAGGATGTCTGGGTGCTGCATAAATGGCTCTTCTTAACTTGTAAAATAACTTTTGATAACACTGCTGAAAGGCTTACGTAAACTGAAATTGTTTATAACTCTTCCAAGCAATGTCATTTCCAGCAATGAACCATTTTGAGAAACTTTTAGTGAACCTTTCTTAACATAACCATTCATTTTTCTTACATTTTAATAATAGAAAGAAGCATTTTCCATCAAATAACCTTTTAAAGGCTCTTCATGGAAAAAAACAACAACAACTTTATTTTATTACTGAGTAAAATATTATTTAATTATTTATTTAATTATTAATTTATTAATTAATTATAATTATAAATTAAATTAATTATTTAATATGACTGACGACCTGACAACATTTAATCTATAGCAATAAAAATGATGTTTAGTGTCAGGTCAGGTGTATTTAATTTTTTTTTTACACATCCAGGTTCGCAAAATCATTCATTTCAGCAGAAGATCCGTCGATGAATCCGGTCCTAGTGTTCGCAGTAGCCGGTGGAGGGCAGAGGCGGGCAGCTGGATGCGGGTTAAACCGAGAAACACGGGACTCACGCTGCTCATATTCGGCGAGCGCCGAGCGCACATGCATGCATCTGGATGCTGAAACCCGAAGACCTGATCTCCAGCTCCTCTGAACACATCCAGAGCGAGAGAAGCAGCTCAAACGCGCTCTTATACAGTGCGTGCGTGCGCGCTCTGAGTCTGAACTAATGAGCAACTCATGCAGAGGAGTGTGAGAGAGAGAGCGCGCGTAGATGAGAGCTAGAGGGCGGCGGCGCATCGCTCCATTCCTCCAGTCCCGGGACCTTCTCCTGATCTCTCCCGTGAGGAACACACGCTGAACTTGGGACGCGTAACGGCGTCGGTCCTCCGCGCACCACCACCGCAGCTCCGAACCAAACCGAAGAGGGGAACCGAATATTCCGCGCTGAGGAGTTTTCCAAACTCCAAAGTCATGGGGAAAAACAGACGCCAGAGATTTGGATTGGGATTAGTGCTTCTCTTTCTGTGGATTCTGCTGAAAATAGTTGACGCGCAAGGTAAGATGACCAATCCATTATAGAGAGATTTTCATGTCTTGCTTTTAGTTCTTTTTTAATTATTAATTTTACATCACATAGGCTATTGCAATACGTATTTTAGGCTACTCACACCATCGGAACGTTATTTGTCTTCTATTTTATTTCGCTGATTTTTGTGCATTATGCAAAACAGTCATTACCTACTTTGAAATTGAGATCTGATCTGGAATTTGAGACCGCAAAAGCCACAGCTATTTCTCAGTAAGTTAGCTTGCATGGACTCTTAAAAATAAAGTTTTTATTGGCATTTATGGTTCCAAGAAGAACCGTTAACATCCATAAACATTTGCATTGCACTAAAGGTGCTTTTGGGTGGATAAGGATTATTAAAATGTTCTTCACAGTAAGAAAAATTCACTGAAAGGATCACTTTTACTGGATGTGGATCAATCTCTGAAATGGTTGGGTTCTATATGATCACATAATAAGCTACATTATCTAATATTTTCTGGTTTTAATAATGTTTATGCTTTAAATGCTGGGGTGGGGGGTATATATTATTAAATAATGTAGTTTAATGCAGTGAGTTAATTTTTCATGGCCTTTTATTCATTGACATTTTCTGGCAGTTGTCGGGCGCAGTCTCTAGCACAGACAGACTTCATTTGAAATACATTTACAAAAAAAGATTTGTGAAAATGTTGTTATTTCTAAAAAATATAAATAATTTCTAAAAGTAGGCCTAATTGACAGGATGCTAATTAAAGGGTTAGTTCACCCCCAAAATTATAATGATCCTATAATTTACTCACCCTCAAGCCATAGGTGTATATGACTGACTGACTGCCTTCTTTCAGACGAACACAATCGGAGTTATCAAAAAAAAAAAAAAAAAAAAACCTGGCTCTTACAAGCTTTAAAATCGGAGTTAATAACTAAGATTTTAAAGCCGAATATGGCTCCAGGGGGTTAATGAATTCATAAATTTATAAACTACAATCACCAGCTTCCGGTAACAGTCGGACGTGCGTCTAGTTCCGGTGGAAGAGTGACCTCTGACCCGACGATATGGGAATTAAAATCTCAGAGCCAGGATATTTTTATGATTGCATATAAGAAAGTCATAAACATCTAGCATGGCTTGAGGGTGAGAAAATCATGGGATATTTTTCATTTTTGTTTGAACCAACCCTGTAAGTTTTCCCTATGTTGGCGTTATCCGAGACTGATATGATGGAAAGCGCGCTAGAGCAACGTAACGTTGCGCGCATTTATGTAGCGCACTTTAACTCATAAATGTGATTTTTGTAGTTACTAGTTTATTGTTCCTCCTGCTGGATGGGTTATTTATGAATCAGGTATGGCATTTTGTCATTACGGATTCCACTTTTTAAGTAATAATTTACATTTTATACTAGGTTTAGGCTATGTTGAAATATGTTTGTTGAAAGTAGTATGTTGTGCTGATTTGACCTCTTTGATAATAACCACTTTTAATTTAGATAATCAAAATGGTTTACTGCTGTCAAAAATGTATATTCTGTTTATTCACCCTCACGTCATTCCAACCTTATGACTTTCATACACTGTCTCCGTCAAGCGCCATCTTTGACACATGCCAAGTTTTAATAGGCACAAGCACAAATGTATTTTGAGAGGATGAGATTTCACTGAACAACAACTTCAATTTTGGTCTGTTCATCACACAAATCTATCATATAGTTATATGGACTTTTATGAAGCTTTTGACAGAATAAATCACTATACACTTCCATTGTGTGGAAAACAGCAAGTATGCTTTGTTTTGCATGGAAGAAAGAATGTTTCTAATGACATGAGGGTGAGTAAATGAATGTCATTTCTAAGTAAATTATTCCTCTAAAATCTATTTTTCCTCCACATTTGATCTTTCTTTTTGTAGTTCTAGGTATGAGATAATGCAATTTTGCTCTTGCTCCAGGATTTGCGGGAAGTTCTGTCCAAAATTCGGTGTTCATCACTCTATATTATAACAATGCAAAGCATTTTCCCATTTCCATCTGTGTGAATGCGTGCTGTAATGTAGAGTTATGAAATTAGAGAGCATCTGTCTTGTGTCTCGGTCTTTGCAGAGTGTTTTATGAGTCCGTAATGGAATCAGAGTTCATATGCGACTCCAGTCTGCTGAAGAGCGGGACGTCGTTAGAGGTTTCTAAGTCACTTTAAGGAGACAAGACAAAGTGGGAATGACTCCGTTTGTATGCCGCGTGTGAGTGTGTTTGTGTGCTTAGGGTAAGTGGTGGCCATCAGCTCGGAGACACAAGAAACCAGCAGCCCATTAAAAAGCCATTAGCTAAAGCCGTCTCTCTTGCCGTCGAGTTTGTGTTGTGTGTCAAACAAACAGCAGAGAGAGAGAGAGAGAGAGACATGGGGCAGTGAGATTTCAGAAAGAAAATCAGCCAGCATATGGACTATTTTCTTAATATATGTGTTATTGCGAGCGATTCATTGCTTAAATTACATTAAATTAATAAATTCCCTGTGAATCAACTTCCCAACATTTTTCAACTCCTCCTGTTCAGCGCCTGTTTAGCTCCTGTTTTCATGATCGGTTCATGATATATACAAAATGAAGTCCCGCCCTCAATTTTATACTTATATTGTTAAAAATTTTGGGGTAGGTAATTTTTTTTGTTTTAAAAAAAGTCTCTTATGCTCACCAAGGCTGCTTTTGTTTGATCAAAAATACAGTAATAACTGGCGTATTGTGAAATATTATTACCTTGTAAAATAACAGTTTTCTATGGAAGCTTGTTTCCGCCACTGAATAAGTTAAAATAATTGCGACTTTTTATCTCACAATTGCGAGAGATAAAAAGAATTGTGAGATACTGTATAAAGTCGCAATTGCAAGTCAGAATTGTGAGATATAAAGTCAGAATTGCGTGATATAAAGTCGCAAATCTGAGAAAAAAAGACAGAAGTGCGACTTTTTATCTCACAATTCTGACTTTTTTTCTCAAAATTGCAAGTTTACATCTCGCAATTCTGACTTTATAGCGAAAGTCCGATTTATAACTTTCTGACTTTATTGCGAGTTCATATATGTCGAAATTCTGACATCTTTTCTCGCAATTGCGAGTTATCAGGCCAATTCTAGGGGGAAAAAAGACTAACTTCCCCTCAGAATAGTTTATATCTCACAATTCTGACTTTATATCATGCATTTCTGACTTTATAACACGTAATTGTGACTTCATATCTAGCAATTCTGACTTTATATCTCGCAATTCTGACTTTATAACACGCAATTGCGACTTTATATCACACAATTCTGACTTGTATCTTGTAATTCTGACTTTATAACACACAATTGCGACTTTATTTGTGTATTTATTTATATAAACTCGCAATTGTGAAAAAAAAAAGTTCGAATGGTGAGATAAAAAGTCGCTATTACCTTTTTTATTTTTCATTCTGTGGCGGAAACAAGCTTCCGTAGTTTGCTACAGAAGCGTATTGAGGAAACAAAATCTACTGTTTTTCTGAATGAACGAGTTAATTATCTCAGAAATACGAGATAATTTTTCATGGAAAATTTTTCATTTTTCACTCTGTTTTTATGAATTAATGAGTTGCTCCTAATTTTTGAGATAATCTAGTCATTAATTCAGAAATACAGAGCTAAATCTTTTTTCACTCTGTTTTTATGAATTAATGAGTTGCTCCTAATTTTTGAGATAATCAAGTCATTAATTCAGAAAAACAGATCTAAAACTTTTTTCCATGAAAAATTATCTCATAATTCTGAGATAAGTAACTCGTTAATTCAGAAAAACAGAGCAAAACCTTTTTTTTTTCCATGAAAAATTATCTCGTAATTCTGAAATAATTAACTCGTTCATTCAGATTTTTTTGAATATGTTGTAAAATGTATTTTATTCCTGCGATCAAATTTTCACTTCACTCTTCAGTATCACATGATCCTTCAGAAATCATTCTGATATGATGATTTGCTGCTCAAGAAACATTTCTGATTATTATCAATGTTGAAAACAGTTGCGCTGCTTCATAATTTTCTGGAAATAGTTTGTCGATTCTTTGATGAATAAAAAGTCCAAAAGAACAGCATTATTTGAAATGGAAATCTTTTGTAACATTACTATCACTTTACAATCACTTGTGACATATCTGAAGTATTCATTTCTTAAAAAATAAAAAATAAAAATAGACCTTTAATGACCCAAACTTTTAAATTTAATATATATATTTAAAATGGGTTGACTTCAGTGAAAAACTTTCACGTCGTCTCCAGAACTACACAAACTGTGATCCCTGGCTTGCATTTGTCTAGTACAGTTCAGCATGGCCAGCCTAATTTCACACAGCGTTCACACTTTTCACACATCTACCCGTGAATGTGTGTGTGTTGGGAGTGACAAAAAAAACGTGCAAGAGGGGATCTTCGAGACTAGCCGAGAGTTCACGCGCAGTTCTTAACCTCGCTGTCTGTGTGAATAGTGACTTCTTCTGTTCTGTAGAAGCGGTTTAATGTTTTCTCCCAGCAGCACAGCTGCCCACACACATCCAGAGAGACTGTAGATGGGCTGTTTACTGTGATTGAAGTGGACATTCATTTGGTGGTGTTTGCTAAGGCAACACAAACCCCTGACTCAAAGTATTAAACTTTGGCGTGTCATTTGTACGGGCAAAAACCCATAACGCTCTTGCGTCGTGATGGCGAGTTTTGCATGGGCGATCGCCACTCATTTTGTAGTTAAAATTAGCCGAGCTGAGATGGTAAAAATCATACTTCGAGAATGTCAGCTGGGTATCCTCATTAGTAATTTAGGAGATAAAGAAGAGAAATATAAAGAGATTGCCATTGCTTCAGGGAAAAAGTCCCATGATCCTTTGCGTTGCTGACATTAACCTGCTGACCTCAGGGCATGAGTGCTGCACTCTCTGTTGAAGAAATGCATGTTGTTAATGCGAGTGTGATCTTTTTGAAGAGTCGTGATGAATACAGAAGTGTGTGT